GAGACGGGCGGATCACGAGGTCAGGAGATCGAGACCATCCTGGCTAACACGGTGAAACCCCGTCTCTACTAAAAAATACAAAAAGCTAGCCGGGCGAGGTGGCGGGCGCCTGAAGTCCCAGCTACTCGGGAGGCTGAGGCAGGAGAATGGTGTAAACCTGGGAGGCGGAGCTTGCAGTGCGCTGAGATCGGCCACTGCACTGCAGCCTGGGCGACAAAGCGAGACTCCGCCTCAAAAACAAAAAAAAAGAAAAGAAATGAGAGGCTTCACCTGATGATTCCTGAAGCAAAGGAAAAAAAAAAAAAAAAACAGAGTCATTGGAGTTTTTGAGAAATAACAATTTTAAAGATAATATCTGCCTAACACATAATTATCCACATAATTTCAATTTCTTGAAAGTGTATAATTCACTGGATTTTAGTATATTCACAATGTTGGGCAATCATCAGCACTTCCTAATTTCAGAACTTTTTAGCACTCCAAAAAGAAACCCTTGTGCCCATTTAGGTAGTCATTCCCTCTTCTCTCCTCCCCCCAGCTCCTGGCAACCACTTACCTATTCTGGACATTACACATAAATGGAATCATATAATACATAGCCTTCTGCATCTGACTTCTTTCACTTAACCTAATGTTTTCAAGGTTCATCCATGTTGTGGTAGTATCAGTACGTCATTCTTTTTAATGGCTGAGTTGTATTCCATTCTATGGGTATGCCACATTTTGTTTATTCATTACTTAAATTGTTTCCACTTTTTGGCAATTATAAAGCTGCTATGAACATTTGTGTACAAGTTTTTATGTGAACACATTTTTAATTATCTTGGGCCCATTTACATTTTAAAAAAATACAATGACTTCAGCGACTGTCTAAGCAGGCAACAGTAGAAGGGAAAATGGTTGATACACTAATAGAATAATCCCTGGGAGACACAGAGAGCTTGAGCCTGGTGTTGGCCTTCGGCAGTGAAAGTAGTAAGAAGTGGGCTTCTCTGGATATATAGTGGCATGTCATTTACACTCTAAGAAATTTGTTGTGAGGTGATTTCACCGTTGTTCCAACATCATAGAGTGTATTTACATAAATCTAGATGGCAGAACTTACTATACACCTAGGCTATATGGTATAGCCTATTGTTTCCAGGCTACAAACAACCTGGCATGTTACTCTACTGAATACCACAGGCAATACAATAGGAAGTATTTGTGTATCTAAACATATCTAAATATAGAAAAGGTACAGTAAAAATAGGTGTTACTTTATGGGACCACTATTGTATCTGTTGTTGACAGAAAATGTCATGTGGCCATTGCCTGTATTTTGAAGGTGGAGAGAGCAGAGTTTCATGATGGACTGGATATAAGGTGAGAGAGGAATCAAGCATGACCTCCTTTTTGGCCTGAGCCCCCAGAAAGATCAAGCTGCTATTAACTGTGATGGGGAAAACTGCAGGTGGAGCAGATTTAGAGGGAGAAGACCAGAAGTTTAGTTTTGAACTTAAGTGTCAGAAACTCATTAGATATCCAAGAGGAGGCAAAGCCATGAGACCCACAGAAATCTGTGTACCTAGGGAAGGAGGCCAAGCATTAGGATGCAGAGTACTCTATCATTAAGAAGTCAGGTGGAAGAGGAAAACCTAGCAAAGGAAGCTAACAAGAAATGGCCACTGAGGAAGAAGAGAAACCAAGAGAGCATGGTAACTTGAAAGTAAAGTGAAAAAAATGTCTCCAGGAAGAACAGTGATATAGTAGGTCAAATGCTGCTGATGAGCCAAGGAAGAACTGAAAACTGATTATCGGATTTAGTAACGTGGAGGTTATGGGCGACCTTGACAAGTGTAGTTTCAGTGCAGTAGTACAAGCAAAAGCCTGATTAAAATGGGCTTACCAGAGACTGACAGGAGAGGAATTGGACACAGTGCAGACAACTCTTATAAGAAATTCTGCTGTCAAGAGAAGCACAGCAATTGGGTGGTAGCTGAAGGGAAAATTAGGTCAAGAACTTTGTTTTTTCTTATGATAAGAACTAACAGCTTTTCTTCTTTTTGTTATGTTGAAGGGAATGATCCAGAGAAAAAGAAAAACTAATGTAGTTTCCTCAACTGTGAAACAGGTATAGTAATGGGATTGTTTTGAGGATTTAATGAATAAATATAAAGCACTTAGCATGGCATAAATTATGCACTCAATAATGCTTGCTTTAAAAAATACAGAATATTGGGCAACTCCTAACGACAGAGTTGGTTGTGGGAGTTGGAAGGTGTCAGAGACCCAATTATCAAGTCAATTCATACCACAAGCAAAGAAAAGGGCATGGATGAGGATTAAAGGGGCAGGAGAATGAAACCAGGTTTTACATCTACTGTCAGGGTGAAGAGTTCCTGTCTAACAGAGATTAACAGTAAAAATTATTCACAGTAGTTTCACCAAACTTCCATGTGGATCCAAAGTAATGGCAGCTCCTTTTTTTTTTCAATCACCCAAGGCTCTTTTTATTATTTTGCCTTTTATCTTCCAATTTTTGTTTCTTTTTTTTTTTTTTGGAGGTGGAGTCTCACTTTGTCACCCAGGCTGGAGTGCAGTGGCGCGATCTCAGCTCACTGCAACCTCCACTGCCCGGGTTCAAGCAATTCTCCTGCCTCAGCCCCCTGAGTAGCTGGGATTACAGGTGCGTGCCACCACGCCCTGTATTTTTTGTATTTTTAGTAGAGATGGGGTTTCTCCATGTTGGTCAGGCTGGTCTCGAACTCCCAACCTCAGGTGATCCACCTGCCTCGGCCTCCCAAAGTGCTGGGATTACAGGCGTGAGTCACTGCACTGGGCCCTCTTCCAGTATTTTTAATCCTCCAAATTGCATTAAGTAAAAACTATTTTGATGTTTCAATTTTAGTAATCAGATGCATATGGCCCTAAATCAACAAGAGGCCAAGTGTGTGATAATTACGATAGCAGGCAACTGTGGTTTTGTGCAACCTTACCATGGAAAGTTTAATTTTCAGCTTTCTGAATTATTAAGAGTCATATCTTTCATGTATTTATCCTGGTTAATTCAGTCATGTGTATAAGGCCCAAAGACAGAAAGATCTGGGGAAGGTCAGGATATATCCATCTGACCAATCAGCTCTAGCGTAGAAGAATAAGAGAGAGAAATTCATTACTTACTCTTTTATCCCAGATAAAATAAAATGGGAAAATGCAAAAAAAAAATCTTCACCTTTTCATTTGTCTTTTTTTTTTCTTTTTTTTCCCAACTTGAAGCACAGATGTCCCTGAGGTTTACAAAGGATTTCTAAGAGTGACATCCTCCATGCACTGAAAGATATACCCCCAAACTGGGGAAACCAATGACCTGTATTTCTATACCTAGACTAGGCTGTGTCTTCCAGAGTAGAAAAACGAACCTTAAAAAAAAAACAAAAAAGAGATCGTCTTTTCTGCCCAATTAAACTGTCCACCAAAAAAAAAAAAAAAAAAAGAATATTAACTCTTTGCCCTACTGCAATGTAGAACATACTGTAATATAGCAAGCCATCTGAAACAAAAACATGAACTCAAAACTTTATTTTATTTCAAGATGGAATTTTGCTCTTGTTGCCTAGGCTGGAGTGCAATGATGTGATCTCGGCTCACTACAACCTCCACCTCCCAGGTTCAAGCAATTCTCCTGCCTCAGCCTCCCAAGTAGCTGGGATTAAAGGTGTGTGCCACCACACCCAGAAAATTTTTGTATTTTTAGTAGAGACAGGGTTTCACCATGTTGGCCAGCCTGGTCTCGAACTCCTGACCTCAGGTGATCTACCCGCCTTGGCCTCCCAAAAGTTCTGGGATTACAGGCATGTACCACTGCACCCAGCCCGAACTCAAAATCTTAAATGGTAATTGTCTCCCAACGTACAACTCTCTTCATCATCATACCACTTACCCACATGTACTTAATCCCTTTGTTTATACATATTCACTCATCGGCTTACTTTGTTTCTTCACTATCTCTATCACCATCACTTTCACCCCTATTATCACTTCTGGCCTGAGCAACTGGAAAGATCAAGTTGCTATTAACTGTGATGGGGAAACTGCAGGTGGAGCAAATTTAGAGAAGACCAGGAGTTTAGTTTTGGACTTAAGAGTCAGACACTTACTAGACATCCAAGAGGAGGCAAGGCCATGAGACCCATAGAAATCTGTGTACCTGGGGAAGACATGATCACTTTCCCCATGCTGCAGATGAGGAAACTGAGAAGTCTTTGAGAGTACAGAGCCTGCACTTAAAACACTAGATTTTGAAGTCACAGGCACTGTCTAAGGCTTCCATATAATAATTACAGCACTTAACACATAGTTAACATTCAGTAAGCTTGGTTAAATGAAGGCATGCTCTTAACAATGTCAATGCAAGGACCCTTCAAGGCAAACCCATCCTAAAACCTCAAGGCAAAAGGTATTGAATGATTTCAGAGACAGTGAATTTCTGAGCTGGAAGAGTTAATGTGGCAGGGGAATAAATACCTGCTGGAACTTATATAAATCATTATACTTCTCATGGAAGTCCAAGTTCATCAGTTCCTTCTGAAGCCCTTCCAAGAAGTCTTGGCTTTGGATGAAGTTTGGGATCACGCAGTGAAGAAAAGGGTCCATGTCCATGACAATGACTTCTGTTGGAAGGAAAATATTATCTATGGCTTTTTTCCTTTTGTATTTTTGACCCCCAAGTAACACAGCACCGCTAATACGAAAGGGGATGGTCATGAATTTTGGGGAACCTAATACTTAAAGTCTAAGATTTGGGGAAAATATCATAAGCTCTGACCTTTCTTCTTTACCCATGAAATACTACTTTTTAAATATACTATGGTTACAACACAGTCCTTGAGATGAGTGATGGGTGATGTCACTAAATCAAGGTTCCTACTCTTTTTTAAAAATGTGTTTCAATGATTACATATTGAATTGAATGTATTTTAGATTCTTAATTCATTTCCCTCAAACTTTGGGTAGCACGTTAAATGAGAGTAGCAATACTGGCCGGCAGTTTCCCTGCTTTTTCTTTTCCTAAGTTATTGTCAGAGGCATTTACTACCTACTGTACTTAAAAAAAAAAAAAAAAAAAAATCAGGTCAGTTCAGGCATAACCGCCTCTAATTCCTTGATTTCTACCCCAACATTTACCCACTGCTTCCGGCTGGCTAGATCCCCATCCTGTAATCATCAGCACCACCTACCATGTCCCAGGCCCATTATCTCATTTAATCTTTTCAACAGCTCTGAGGGAGACATTATCACTCTCTCCATCCTACAGATGAAGAAACTGAGAGAACAGAGCCTGCACTTTAACACTACGCCATCGTTTTCTATAGGCATCCAGCCTATCCAGGACTCACCTCTTAAAGCACTTGACAACGAAAGAGAAATTACGGCAAACTCTAGAAGGGGATGCCTGGCGCATGAAGCAGAGCTCTGAACACATAAGGTGATATTTAAAATTGAGGGTGGAATCGTTCAACGTAGGCTCCTTTCCTTGGTCAACGCGCGTTTATTTTCATACAACATGGAGTCAAACTACAGGCGCGTAGAGACAAGTACACTAGGAAGCCGAGCTGGCAGCTCGCGACAAATGCCCTGGCTAGACTCTCCTGGGACAGCCGAGCAACGCCCTTGCAGAAGAAATGACATCAGCTACTCCCGTATTAGTCCAGATGTGTATTGGGCCTTACTCAGGGAAACATTTACTGAAGCCTGCAAGCATTAGTGTATTGCTCCCATTCACCGACTTTCTGACGTAAATACTATGAACTATCCCATTTTACTTAGGAAGCAACTGAAGTTTAAAAAGGTTAATTCCATTGCCCGGCGACGCGCAATCAGGGGAGAGGATTCTAACTCAGTAATCTGTGACTCCAGAATGCAACTATCACTTGCATACCCTCTGCTTCCCAAAACTCTCCGGCCTCCATTTCTCCCTTTTCTCACATTTCTAAATTCAAAACGATTTTGGAGTGAAAGGGAGCAGCAGCCGAGGCAGGAGGATACAAGGTGGTCAAAGTCCTCCAAGAGCGTCTTCCCTGGCGGCCCCGCTACCCAGGGCTGCGTGCGAGTCCCAGGGCTTTTTCAGAGGTCCCCAGACCCCTGCGTGGCGGCCCCTCCCTGAGAGCACCCGGTTACCGTGACTGAACGGCGTTCTGCGGCTCCAGGCCTCAGCCACCTGCTTTTTCAAGGTTTCTTCCGTAACAGCGTCCGAAAACTCCGCCATCACCTCCTTCTTTCCCTTTTTTCCCACCCGGGCTGGGCCAGGGTCCGCTGGCCGCTTCCCATTCATCTCCTCCCAAGGTACAGAACCACGCCACACTGATCAAGACGCTACTTTCCTGAGGGGACTACAATTCCCGGCATGCCCCCTTTACTGTGTTGCTAATGGGAATCACCAAAGTAAGAGGAGGCGGAACCTATACCCGGTTTACCAATGGGAGCTCCAGCTATTGCAGCCATCCCACCAGCTATTGGCCCAATGGCGCTCGGTCTGGCAGGCCACCTCCTCTCTACTTCCTGCCGCCAGAGGCTCCGGGTTCACTTCCTGCGTGCCTACGCCTCCTCTTGCGCTCTCCTGTTAATGGCGGGCGGTAGCCGCTGAGGGGGTTGCAGATAACCGCTTCCCGCACCGGGAAAGTCTCCCCTGCCTCCCACTTTCTGCTCGCCGCCAGTGCCGGAGCTCGCCAGCATGTCTGTGGTACCGCCCAATCGCTCGCAGACCGGCTGGCCCCGGGGGGTCACTCAATTTGGCAACAAGTACATCCAGCAGACCAAGCCCCTCACCCTGGAGCGCACCATCAATCTGTAAGTGCGGGGCGGCCTTGGCGGGCATTTCTCTCGTGAGCGCT